TGTCCAGCCGTTCCAGCAAGAAGAACAACAGAAAGCGATTTACATCTTCCTCGACGGTATCGATGAGGTAGATTCAGCTGAAGTCGAGGAGCTACTCCAGCAAATGGGTTCGGATGATGAATCTGACAAGAGACCGAAGCATGTCACGCTCCAAGTTGCTCTTATCGGAAGAACGTACATGACCGAAACTGTTACGTATACACTCGATCCAGGAAATAGGGGAACTCAAGTCATCACAACACTCCACGTCACGCCTGATCGCAACGCCGAGGATGTCAAGTTGTACATCGAGAATAGCGTCTGGCACCTTCGTAACTTGAGCCGCACACCTCCCGACTTTCGACAAAAGATCATTGACGCCATGATCAAGCAAGCCGACGGTCTCTTCATTCTCGCAAAGTTCATGCTGGAGGATATAAGTCGTAAACGACATCCTCAGAGTATTCTCACCAGTCTGCAGTCCTATCCCAAGGAGATCAATGGTATTATTGGACAAACACTCAAGAACCTTTCGGAGACACTATATGAAGACCAGACAAGGGATCTGAACGAAATGCTCCAGTGGGTGGCGTGTGCAGAAGAAGTCCTGTCGCTCGAGCAATTAGAAGCAGTCCTCATCATGCGTTTCGGAGATCCTCCTTTCCACCTCGAAGAAACTCTACGCGGGCAATACGCATGTTTTTTCGAACTCGAGCGCGAAGATGGTTTGACAACTGACGATCTCATTCGAGAGCATGAGAAGCAACAGCGCATTAAGAACGGCGATCTCGGTTCCGGAAGACGTTCAAGTTCAGCGAGTCGTCCAGGATCAGGACGAAGTGGAAGTCCCAAGAGTCCTACGGTCTTCGGCCGAAGTCCCGACCTGGGTCGAAACTTGTCGCCTCTGCGTCGCACGAGCCCGATTCAGTCTTTGGGTCCTGGACGAGTTAGCCCTGGACGGGGTGTGAGTCCCGCTGCCAATTCCGACCTTTTTGACCCCATGAGTGAAATGGACTTCCGATCGAGCAAGACAAATACGTGGATTACTTTCTTCCACTCTTCCGTCAAGGAATTCTTCAGTACACAAAACTCTTCAAAGCTTGGTGCGGGCATTGGCTTCGATCCTCTCATTTCGCGCATTCACATCCTGAGGACTTGTCTGTCCATCTTCACTAACAAATCCGCCTTTGAGAAATACCGGCTCAGCGCTAGTGGTCGAGAATCCATGAAGCAGTACGCCGCGTGGTACTGGCAGGAGCATTTAGCTGTTCTAGATCCCGCGACAGTACCTGTACCTGAGAAGAAAGAGCTTGGAGAGTATGTGCACAAGATGCTCACTGATGAGAACACCATTCTCGACTGGACTCTTATGTATGAGAAGAATGACGAGGGCCTTGACGTCCTTACAGATGCCAACATGAAGGGTCTTAAGCGATGGATGGGGGATCCCGATGTCCAATCCTCTCTCAGTCCTGAAGCTCGGGAATGGGCCAGCAAAGGCGTCAAGGAATCCCCCGGTATCTTCAAGCCCATCGGAGATCTCTACGCTCGAGCGTGGCTCTCAGAAGACTTCAAGAAATACATTCCCACCCTCTTCTGCTTCAAGATTGTCCAGTCCATCGCATTCATGCAAGAGGGCTACTCCTGGTCCGACTGCAACACCCACTGGACTGAGATCCCTGTCGAGAACCGAATCGTCAAGGCAGCAGAATGGGCAAAGATTCCAGAGAGTGCCCACTGGCATCGCCGCTTCGGAAGCACATATCTCACGAATGACATGCACAGCAAGGCGCTGGGTCATTATGACAAGGCTCTTGCTCTCGACAATAACAGTGTCGAGACACGTGGTCGTATTGCATACTGTCTTTCGCGTGACGGTCGCTTCAAAGAGGCTCTAGAGCAAACTCTCAAGTGTGAAGCGATTGAAGCGGAGAGTATCGCAAGCGGCAAGCTCGATGAGCAAGCCTTGAAGAGCTGCAGATGGCGTCTGTACAAGGATCACATTCTCATCGCCACTTGCTACGAAGAACTCCACAAAGTCGACCAAGCCCTCGAGTACTTCCTCAAGGCGATGAAGAGCGCTAAAGTGGTCGGTCTGGATCGCAAAGAATGCAAGGAATATTTCGAGCCTGAACTCGGGTACCTCGAGCTAGTGGCCACAGAGAACCGCCATGAAGCTGTCATTCAGTTCCTTAAACAACTTTCGGAAGTAGTCACTGACCCAGAACACAAGCGTACAAGACTCGTTGACTTTTTGCTCGAGTTCCATAACAAACCTCTAGTCATAGACTGGATCCCCAAGGCAGCTAGCAAAGTCGGTGAAACAGACTTCATTTACGAGTCTCTTCTCTTCACGATTGAAGTCGCGACCGCAACTCGCGATCCCCTCAAGGCGCTGTATCTTCGTCTCGCACTTGGCGCAACGTACACGTATAGTCGCGATATCGATTCTGCGCTGGACTTGTTCGAAGGTATAACGCAACTTGGATACCGACCTCGTGGTAACGTTCCCACACGACAGGCTTATGCTCTCGCATTTCAGAAGCTTGCGTCCCTGTACAAAGAGCGTATTCTTCATGCCGGCTTGAGAACGCCTGAAGCAGACACTTGGCTTGAAGATCTTGAGAAGATCAAGCAGAAGCAAAGTCGGCATCAGAATCATGACATGCCGATCGAGATGGTTGGTTCAGACGTCAACATCGCAGCCATCTACATGATTCTCTTCAATCGCCTCCTTGGTCGAATTTCTTCCACAGACCGCGATCTTCGGCAACTCATTAATGACAGTCTTGACATTCTCTCTGACGATGATGTCCAAAATGACGAATACGCCCTGGATAACCTCCTAGGTCTCTTCATTGCCGCCGACGACATCGAAAACGCTCTCGCCCTCAGCCAGTCCATGCGCAAAGTCGATCCCAAGGTCTTCACCTCGACTCCAGAAGACTCGCCCGTTCTCTCACGCATCGAGCCCAAACTCCCCGAGATTCAGACAATGCGTCAAAACTGCGCCCAATGTTTAGATCTAATCCCTCCTTCAGACGAGTACTACATCTGCGAGTACTGCATGGAGACGTATGATGCAAAGTGTATGGCTGTTATCAAGGGCGAAGGAAACAAGACGAGCGACCATAGAGATGATTTGATCTGTAGGAGTGATCATCGGTGGTTTACTGTGCCCCCGTTGGGAAGAGTATTGCACAGGGGAGAGATACTGTTGGTGAATGGCAAGGTAGCGAGTTTCAATGAGTGGAAGGCCGGTTTGGAGCAGAAATGGGGGAGGAAAAAGTAGATGGCATGGACATGAATACCTAGGTATAAGAAATGAAGCATGAGTGGAGTTGGTCAGCATTTAGATGAAGTGTTGCTGCAGAGATTAAGCTATCATAGGAAAATACATAAACTTCTACTCACAAGCCTACACAGGTTCAAGACGTTTCACTTCCTTCCTCCATTCCAAAACACAGTGATTCGAAATGCTTCATAACAGCTTCCGGTGCCGGTAAGGATTCCCTGCTGCGATATACGTTGCCTTGTCTGATGTAGGATATCCTGAAGGACTGTCATACTTCATCGCCATCTTGGTCCAAACATTCTGGCGATGACGGAATTACTCCTATATGATCGCTTCAACAGTAAGATATATTCTTCACACTCCTCTCCTGTGTTTCTAGAAGTTGGCAAAAGGAGGGAATGTGGATGCCAATCTCCTGGGGCCTGAATTTCCATGCATCGTAAGCTGGAGAAGCAACAAGAGCAAAGCACACAAGGCCCAAGGCCTCGCATTTAAAATGAAGTATAGCAAGCGCCTTCCCCATTGAGGCTGCTGTCTTCTCAACTTTTACACCCTATCCTCCATCATTTTGCGCGTGATTCGTAGACCTTTCAACTGAAATTCTCGAATGGACAACTGAGTGTCGAGTCAAACGAGGAGTGGCGTGCATTCGAGGTTATCTCCACGACGAACAAGTTCCTTAGTAACCTCGGGATCCATTGGGCATTCGCCCCTTGGGTGATACTGGTTTGTAAGAGCTCATCGAACCATCTGAGGCAACGAATGAACCTTGTCCACCGTTGTGCCTGGTGCGGGAGGCACTTGATGATCTTGGCAGAGTCTTTTCCAGTCGGCAAAGAGTTGTATACTGATAGGAGCTTTAATTCTGTAGCCGTATTGGAAGTTATGTATATCAAAGGCCCTCGCGACTTTCTGTTCAAAGTCTGCGCGGCTTCTTACAACGCGAATCTGGCTATCGAGATCAGACAACGGAGCCTTTATCAGGTCGACATAAGTTTTCTCCCCAGTCAGCTCCGACCTTTTGTATTTATCGGTGTCTGAAACGTGCTTAATCTTCTGATCACGTCCATGAAGATGGCCGCCTTGGTTGTATGGCTCGCGAGAGTTGGTAGCAATTGGCAATCATTATATTGTGCAGATTTTACAAATTATGCCCTATTGGAAGTAAGCTATCCTTTTATCATACAACAGACACGCCACACGTATGCAAGCCGTAAGCGTCTTGCCGAAATTATTCATGGAGGGCTCATAAAGAAACGAGATCTTGGGCCGTGGTTAGAGCAATACGTGTATCCGTAGCCTCGAACATGCGCCGAGGTTGAGGTTGACTTGGGCCGTGATATGCCGACTCAGTAACACCCGACGGATTGGAACTTGACAACGGCGTAATTTTAGTTTAAATCTGAAATTAACTGCAGCTTTCCCTTATTTAGCACTCCTTATCAGATTTGGTACTAAAATAAGGAGGCATCCGTGGCTGTTTCAACGGACTGCTCCTGCTCCCAGTGCCCAAGCATATGCGGAGTACTCCATCACTCGCCGCGTCCAGCAGCCAACCACTGTAATTACACTTACACTACAGCGACATCGGCGCACGTGTAAATTACAACAGCTCCCATCTGTGCCAAAAGTGACGAAATCCATCGCCGTCCCACGCCCAAAAAAAGTTCCCATTCCCGTCAACACCAACATCGCCTGCAGACCATAACCGGGCAGGACAGCAATCATGGCGTTGACAACACAAACAAGCGAAAAGAAGAAGCAGCCCAGTCCCTTGCGATCCATCATCGCTGGATCGACTGCCGGCGCCATTGAGATTGGTATGCTCACACGACATGACTCTGAAGATGTAGCTAACCAAGCTGTCGTATAGCTATTACCTACCCCGCTGAGTGTACGTTTACACACCCGTCAAGTCGATGCGGACCTACAATACTGACTTGGTGTAGTTGCAAAGACAAGGTCGCAGTTGAACAGACGGTTAGCTGAAGGACAGAAGCTCCCTTGGCCGCCTTTCGGCAAGCAGTGGTATGCTGGATGCACCACTCTCATCATTGGCAACGCAGCCAAGGCTGGAATCCGTATGCCACTTCACGAGTTTACGTGTGTCGCATTGACTAACAAGGGCCAGGATTTGTTGCGTTTGATCAGTACAAGGCGCTTCTAGTCGACGAGAATGGCAATCTTTCTGGACCTCGTACTGTCCTTGCTGGTTTCGGTGCTGGAGTCACAGNNCTGTGACTCCCACCGAAAGTATCAAGACCACTCTGTAAGTTGACTTATTCCCCCGCAGGGCCCAAGCTTACAATCTCAGTATCGACGACCGCAAGTCCCCCAAGCCTCGAATGCGCGGCTTCCTGCACGCCGTCCCTATCATCGCCCGCGAACGTGGCCTCCGAGGTTTCTTCCAAGGATTCGTCCCCACGACCGCTCGACAAGCTGCCAACAGCGCAACACGCTTCACCGCATATAACTTCTTCAAGCAAATGGCCGAGTCATACACAGCACCGGGCGAAAAGCTTGGTGCCGTTGGAACCTTTGCAATTGGTGGTTTGGCTGGTTTGATCACTGTATATGTGACGCAACCGCTCGATACTATCAAGACTCGCATGCAGAGTATCGAGGCGAAGAAGACATATGGCAACAGCTTCAAGTGCGCGACGACTATCTTCAAGCAGGAGGGTGTCTTGACGTTCTGGAGTGGTGCGTTGCCACGTTTGGCGAGGTTGGTAGTTTCTGGAGGATTGGTGTTTACTGCCTATGAGCAGATCCAAGTGTGGTTTAACAAGATAGATCCGGATGAGAAGTACATCTAGACAGGGCTGAGCGATCTAGAGGGCGTTGAATATGGGCACATGAGCAAATACGGGGAATCGCTTTTGATACAATGTACAAGTACAATACATATACACGTCAGATGCCAATGTCCTTCTTTGGGACCCTCTCCATGCATTAAGTCGTTTTCTCATCCATCAATTACTGAAACCGAATCATTCCTGTTAATCGCTTGCCCAATCTCTCCAACCATGATCTGTTCGGCGCCTCGTCAATTTCCCTCACTAGATCCGCAAAATATGTCGGTTGACTCTTTGGCTCGAGTAATCTACCCTTGAGCTTGAACTGTATTATTATTAGCACAGGGTTGTGTTCGCTATGTCGCGGTACGTACTCGATCGTTATATCGGTCTTGGAGGAGGAATTGAAGCGCCCGCGCCTTAAGAAGCTCCTCACGCTCCATAGAAGGCTTATAGTTCTGGAATCGCTCGGTCACGGCTTTGCCTAGGACATCTTGGAGTTGGTGATCGGGACGAAGCGCTTGCTTTGGCCAGCGCGCAAAGACGTCGGAGTAGATTTTTTGCTGTANNGATGTCTTTGCTAGGACTGCCTCTTCAGCAGAATATCTCGACGTCAACCATCGAGAAATTCCATAAAACAGTGTGCCCGTCACAGTGTCGATCTCTTTTGAAACTGTAATTGGAAAGCATATGATTGGGTCATGGGCAATTTGCCTCAGGCTGCCACGAGACCCTTGAAATGGATTGCCTCATCCATTCTTCAACCTGATGAGGACAAGTCCGTGATCTGATTCAGTGTGGAGGTGGACCCAACACTACCTGACACAGCCCACGCAAGTTCAATTCAAGAGTCGTACAAAGAATAAATCAGGTTCTTTTGTCATTCTTCCACGATGTTCTACTGAGGACTCGCACTCGAGAACAGCCCTTTAGATCTGGCTTTGTTGCTGCCCCTGAACTTTGATTAGGGGCTGTGAATGAAAGATTCCGTAAGCCGAAGTAGCATCACAGTGCGCCACGGCGTTTCAGTGGGCGGATACTTCGGCGTATCACCCCTGAAGACCCTTCTGGACTATCCCCTGTCATATTTCACACTGTGCCAATACCGAACCCGAATACAGCCGCCGTCCGCATATCGACTAAGGCGCTCGCCCCAGGCAGGCTTTCTCCTCCCGTCCTGTCGCTGTCTGTTTCGTAATCGTCAAACTTCACAGTCAACGCAAGCACACCCAAACCCAAAACTAGACCTTTTCGCCGTCGTTCCTTGAAGATCCTCTTTCCTTTTTTTCCTCGCCCTGGTCACGTCTCTCCTTTTTCTTTTCGTTCCTCAGTCTCTTCAACCTTCTACTCTTCCTACGACATCGCGTATCTTTTCCTCTTGATAAGCGGACTCGGGAGGCAGCCCGACACCGCCAGACGATTAGCCCATCATGTCCGGACGATACGAACGAGTGAGTCGCGCGATTAGCAGCGGTGTTTTGAACATACTAACAAGGTCTCAGATTAACGGTCAGGACGAGGAGGACTTTGACGCCCGAAACAACAACAATAATAACAACAATCTCTCTCATCCGATCCCCCACTCGCCACCTCCCTCGTTTCACTCTCGATCTTCTTCCCCTCAACCAACGCGCCAGGTCGATGCTACTCTCGCCGATGCCTTTGACGATGATGACGATAGCGACGATGAGGTTGATGATCGGAGGCGATTGATGCGACAGAATTCGACACCATCTATGGAAAATGTCAACACTGTACCAACACCTGCTCAACCGGCTGCTCCGGCACCAACGCCGTCCGGTTCAAGGTCAACGAGAATCGTAGGAGGTGGTTCTGGGTCAGATGGTGTTTTTGCCAATTTGTCTGCGCGCCCGGAGAGAGGGAACAGTGATTCTGAGAAAGACGAGTTACCACCGGTATGTTGCCCGAATAAACATCCTTTGGCTATGTGTTACTAATTTTAATAGTCCTACGAGCAAGCCGCGGCCGATGCTGCTCCTCCATATTGGGAGACGACTATTCTCGCTCCCGGCATGGGAGGACCCGACGAGGTTTACATCGACGGCATGCCAGTTGGCTCATTCTTCTCCTTTGTCTGGAACGGCATGATCTCAACATCCTTCCAGCTTGTCGGCTTCCTCCTTACATATCTTCTCCACTCAACCCACGCTGCGAAGAACGGTTCTCGCGCTGGTCTCGGCATAACTCTTATTCAATACGGTTTCTACATGAAAGGCGTTTCAGAAGACGAACCCCCAGCGATGAGCGGCCCCGATGGCTACGCCGCACCACCCGACCCCAACTCCCATAACTTCAAGCAAGGCGACGTAACAGACGATGATCTCGGCAGCATTAGTGGAGGCGAGTGGCTAGGATACGTGCTCATGGTAGTCGGCTGGTTCCTTCTTATCAAGAGCGTCGCCGAGTTTCTGCGAGCACGACGTCACGAGCAGCTTGTCCTCCAGAGCCCTGATCGCGGTCTTGGTGTACCGATCATCGCTGAGGGAGAGTCGAACGAGCGAGTAGTCTAAATTAGCGGATTTGAATATGTACAACAATACCATTATATCATGGAAGCGCATCAGTCGAGAGACGTAGGCGTTAGCTCTTTTCCTTTGGCGTTTCTTGGGTGGATGGATGGGAAGGATATTTTGGTTCCTACTACAAGCTTAGTGTTTGGCGCGTCACACGCAGTTTCATACGTCTCTATATATGTCTCTCAACATGATTTTGGTTGTATTTATGATTGGCAGCCTGAGAACCGTGGATATAAAGGGCTCATCATAAATGAGACCAGAATCCTCGTTCTTCCTGTTCTCGTCGTCCGTATTACAGCTGAATTGTCGTAAATCCGATAAGAAAGATCAAAGCCTCTATTCCCGAATCATCCTCCTCCCTAGTCATACTATCCTGGTAGTGAACGATCTCGTAAATTAAAGCCCCTGTTAGTGAATGTCAGTGGTGATTTGGTCTGTGGGGTTACCCGTCGCCGATCCCCGTACATATTACGGCCCCGCACAAGCTTCGGCTGCTCGGGCTACCTTACGTAGGTACGATATGATGATAACATTACAATCCACACCTGCCTCTCCAGAATCAGCAAAACTACTCATCGTCAGTCTTGCATCTTCATTTCCAGCGACTTTTCAAATCACTGGGATTCGCACCGTCATCGTGGCTTTCAGCAAGAAATCACTCCATCTCCCCTCTTTTGTGTCTACGCTCTACAGAAACACCTGCCGACTTACACACCAGAGACTCTTCAGTATCAACATGGCGTGGACATGCAGCGGAGACACTAACTCAGCTCTTATTGAGAACATGTGGAAGAACGGTCTCATTACCGACCCTCGAGTGAAAGAGGCATTCCTCAAGGTAAACTCCCGTCCCCGTCTCTAAACTCATGCTGATCATCTAGGTTGACCGAGCTCACTACGCCCCAGCCATGCCATATGAAGATTCGCCCCAGCCCATCGGCTACTCAGCAACTATATCTGCACCCCATATGCATGCCTCAGCCATCGAGCATGTTCTCAGCTATCTTCTTCCCTCATCGACATCACCGGCCCCTCGGGTCCTCGATATCGGTTCTGGATCCGGGTATCTGACTCACGTGATGGCTGAGCTTGTTGGTGAGAAGGGCCTCGTAGTTGGTCTTGAGCATATTCGTGAGCTGAAAGAACTTGGTGAGACAAATATGTCGAAGAGTGTGGAGGGAAGAAGATTGCTTGAGAGCGGAAAGGTGAGATTTAGGTTTGGTGATGGGAGAAAAGGATGGATTGAGGAACCCAGAGAGGGGGAGAAAAACGAGGGGACGGGTTGGGATGTTATTCATGTCGGGGCTTCTGCGGTGGAGATTCATCCTGAGTTGTTGGAGCAGTTGAAGGCTCCTGGGTGGTAAGTAAGATCGTGTTTGTGCGAG